ACCATCATTATATTTCTGTTGAATGACCCATGAGGAGATGCACTTTAAACAGAAAACGACATAACTGTTCATCAGAAGTAACAGCAGTGTTGGGGTTATCTGGGTAGCGAACAATTAGTAATTAATTAATTACTTTTGGATTCCTCAATAAATTCTGTAAATATGGGAATATTTACTGAGTTATTAATTAATTAAGATACAATTAAGTATATACGGGGCACCATCCCCTTCAACCGGGGAAAAATTGAATCCAAAACTCTTATCAGTCTTTCTTGAAGTTCGTAGAATCCTTGGAGCAGAGACTTCGCTTCGACACAACAACGCTACTGGAGCCAAAAATCTGAATGTTATAACATTTAATTAAACAATTTGTCAAATGAATAAACAATGAAATAAATGAATAATAACCATGGGATATGAAAGGATGGATGTGTTTGCGTGTGATGGAGGATGTATGAATAGGGTCCTCCGTTCTCACAAAGGAGTGGTGTGTGTGTGCGTGTGTATGGATTCAAAATGGAGTCTTGAATACAAGATGGCTGACCCCTTTGTCTGGCTAAAGTGAGGGTGGCAACTTGCACTTTGACTTCCAAGGCACTTAGAATCAGAAGTAACTTAACCTTAAAATCACTCAAAACACTTCAAAATGATCATGAAGCTTCACCAAAGATTAATCACGAATTAATATCTTTTAGTTTAACCACTTGGCCATAGCAGAAAACATTTAAAGATACCAAACAATGATCAATAAGCAGTTTATTCTTTCAAAATGACCCGACGGACGTATTTGGGAACGAAAAGAGGAAAACATGAAGCTACTTTTAAGCAATAGTGCGGTTTTATTGCTTATTCTGGACTATAGAGGAAACGGAAGAAGGAAAGAAGGAGAGAGAGAGAAGGAGATGAGTTTTCTGATCACCAGAACAGTGAAGCGTCCCTCACTGTTTGATTTGACGGTTCTCCGTGTTTCTCCGCAGTTTGGCGTCGTCCGTCGGTTTGATGGCTTTCTCCGCTGTTTTGGCGTTCTCCGTGAGTTTGACGGAGTTGCTGATTTCCCAACCCGGTCCTGTGGTCTCCCTTCAGCAGCTAGCGCAGCGAGCGGTTAGACAGACCTGATGGGCTTGCAGCTTAGCTTTCCAGCGGTTCCGGGAGCTCTACTGGAGCACTTAGACTTCCCGCGTGCTCAAGTTAGTCGGAGCGTGCAACGAGCGTGTCCTTACCGGCCAGCTATCCTGGGCAAAAGAACGGAGTTCCTTTGTCTTTGTTGATGATTTATAGCCTGAGCTCGCGGGAAAACTCCATGAGCTCCTGCACATGCGCAGAACGTGTTTCTGGTATTAGGCGGTGACGTCTTCACATTGCTTCCGTGTGCAAAGCATCATGGGAAATGAAGTGTCTTTTGGCGCTGATGTTTAATATCTGCTTTTCAAAGCAATTTAGCAGTCTTTTGGAGAAAATTACTGCAGCAATTTCTCACGAGGGCATACCCTCAACAGCAGCATATGGAGAGAATCGCTGAGCATATTTGACCAACTGAATCATTCAAATCCTTCATAGGAAAGAGGAAACTTCAGATGCTTTCTGGGTGACCTTTTGACCTTTTCTGCTTCTGCATCAAAGGAAATAATTATAAAAACATTCAGGTTGGACCTTATTAATGAAAAAGCAGCTCAACAACAAGCAATGTAGGACTGATTCAGATGATAAACAAACCAGAGCATTGGCAGAGGGACAAAAATAACATCTGGTCCCAATTATGTGTACAGGTGACATTTAACAATTCTGCAATAAAATGTTCTTTCTTAATTATGAAAAATTATTTAAACTGTAGGTGATTGTTAAAGTCTTGACTAAAGTCCAGAAAACTTTAAGTACTGGAATTATTTTCAGAATGAAATTGACTTTTGTGGCTCGTCTCCCAGATGATCCATGAACTCTTTTCTAAGTGACAAATTAAAGAAGTTTAAAGTTTTTAGAGTCAAATTCAAGTTCTCCATTTTGATGGACTGGTTGAGAAAATTACCATGTGGATCTACAAAATATGTACGTGCAGCAATTGTATTTATGCCTAAATTTTTGTTTTTTTCTGTGTTAAAGTTTAGCTGCAAGAGATGACTAATAACAATGACAGCATGTGGACATTACTGTTTAAAAGTTGACATGTGATGAAACAGCTTTGAACATGTGCAAATTAATAATGTTAACAAGATCAGATCAGTTGTGAGGCGTTCACAGTGGAGCAAGTGTCACCCGTGCATCTAGATGCCTTCATATTGTTTTGTTCAAAACCATAAAGTGTCAGTCATGTGAATAAGAATGTTGCTATTAGCTGCTGTAATGGGAAAAGAAGGGAGCAGGAATGCTGCGTAGGACAATTTATTCCAAAACTATTTACAGCAATGTTGAATTTGTCACAAATGAGAAGGCTGCGCATCCGAACTCCTGCCTCGGTTTTCCAAAGATTCCAAATCACGTTGCATTTTGACACAGATTTATGTTTTTAATCATGCATGGTTCTAATTAGTGTCTTCTTTGTTCCTTCATTTTTTAAGTGTTGCAGAACGACAGCAGTTTTAGCATTTTATACAAAAGCTGTAACTTCAACAGTAAAGAAAGTGAAACACCAAAAGGGCTTTTATATTTTTATTGTTTTCTGAGACCCATAAATCCGTCAGTGACACGAAGAGTTGTATATTTATTTAAAGTCAATGTATAATACTATTTTTTTCATTCATTTCATATGAAGAGGTGGTTTAGAATAATGTCTAATGGTTTGCATGACTGTTCAGACCTGACCTTACATTAACCTCTCAGCATTCCAGCGTCCCGCCCATGGGACAAAACCAGATTGTGTTCAATAAACCTGGAAATTTAAGGGGTTAAGACCAAGGTCGTACAGTGCAGCCTCATCTCATGCTTTTTAAACGCATTGTGACCTTTTCATTGGGTGCCCCTCATGAAATCCCTTCATAGACATTGAGTCACCACCAGATGTGACTCTAGTAAAGCCATCAGGGGACAAAGGACTTTGAAGGAGGACTATTAAATAAGTTTAATCCCATATTAATCCCAGCCAGTCAGAAATCCGATGTGAGTTAGCTCGCCCCAGGGGTGATCAGGAGTTGTGCTGATAAGAAGAAGAATTATTCGTCAGCACCAGTGTTGGGAGTAATGCCGTTTAAGTATAACGGCGTTTCTAACGGCGTTATTTTATAGGTAACGGAATAATCTAATTAATTACTTTTCCCGCCGTTGCAACGCCGTTACCGTTACTGGGGACGGAAGGTTGTGCGTTACTATGTGCTTGTCGAACGTTGAGCAACAGGCTTTCTGACCGCCACACTTCAGCTGCAGCCAGGGAGAGAGAGGTGTCGGCGCGCTAGGATGATGTCGACGCCAAAACAACCAAAACAAAGTGGAGACTCACCTCTTACATCAGGAAGAATCTGCGTGTTTCGAGCGTTATCCGTTCTTTCATAATCCGTTGTTGAATTGTGATCTGCAGAAGCTTTTCCGGTTCACGCCTCACTTTTTTTTACAGCAGCGGCCCACGTCTTCTTTTATCAAAACGTCGTTTCTGTTACTGATAAGGAAATGCGTGCGTTAAGCAGCGCGGTGTGTTGAAGCTGTCATCAGCTGATCAGGAGCTAAAGAGGTAGATGTTTTCATCCAAGAGCATCACGGCCCGTGAAGAACGAGGAAGACATGATGAATATCTACGGCTGCAGACCCCCGCAGATTCGCTGCTGCAGGTGGGAATCTGCAGCAGCGAATCTGCGGGTCTGCAGCCGTGCCCTTCTTGGCGTGACAGCGGGACGTCCCGAAGGTCCGCTCACCTGTTCACCGCTCAGACGTCCTGATCTTCTACCTTCCTAGATCATCCAGCTGTAACCTGTTTCTGATGTCTTTAGTCCCGCTGTAACACTGATGCATCAGTCTCAAACGTCATGGAGCTCAGGTGTTATTAGAACTACCTGTGTGTGTGTTTACCACCCAGCTTCAGCTCTTCTGTGGTTGGGTCTGACCCAAGTTAGTACATTTAAGTCCTCCATCAGATTTGTGCCTCTTCTAGTGTCATTTTAAAGGATTTTATTTATTTATTTAACCATTACTAGATTACCAGCAACAGAAATGCTACTAAAACACACAATTATGTGAAGCTGGAAAAATTAGAATGCTGTGCAAAATTACATTTATTTCTGTAATTTAACTAGACCGAGAGACCATTTAAAGGCTCGGGAACCTTTACAGGTGTTTCTATTTGCAATTTTAAATTTGAGCTGATTGGGTTTTTGTTAAATATTACACAGTGACCTTTTAATAGGCTAGATTAGTGTAATGTTCCTGTTAGTAGTTCCTACTGTTGAGTGCTTATTTATTGAAATTATTCAGGTTTATATAAAACATTTGGACATACATTTTATTATGTTCCAGTCATTAGTCATTTATATTTCTCTATTGTAGTAATTCTTGCATTCTTTAATGAAAAAAGTAACTAAGTAGTTATTTTTGTTGGTAATTAGTTACTTTTATGATCTTGTAACTCAGTTAGTAACTGAGTTACTTTTTTGACAAAGTAATCAGTAACTATAACTAGTTACTTTTTTAAAGTAACGTTCCCAACACTGGTCAGCACGCTTTTGCAGGTGTTTATCTGAGGTAAAGAACTGCTCATTGTTATGTTTGGAGTGCTGTTGGGTTTTCCCTTCGTGTGTTTAAACAACAGGATGCAGCAGCCGGCAGTGTTGATCAACCTGATATGTCACACTAACTCTGTGTTTCTCTACTTTTAAATTCTCTTTTTGTCCTTGAAAGGTTTGACTGTCGTTTGTCACCATTTTATTCTCCAAGCATAAGCATTTATTTTCCCTCTAACTCCTCTTTATTCAGGTTATTAGACTGAACACGTCCACCGTCCTTGTCACGTAGCAGACAACACTTTCCTGTTATTTAAGGGACAGTGCATTTTTTATATATTTTTTTATTCTTGTGCTTTGCAGGCCTGGTTGACTGAGATCCATGAATATGCCCAGCAGGATGTGGTGCTCATGCTGCTTGGAAACAAGGTAAGAATTACTGTTACCACCAGAGTTACTATAAAAAGGATGCGCTCATGCTATTCTGATTTTGCAACAGTTCTTAAAGTATGTTTAACATTTGTGTTGTTTGCTTATTATGGCAATTAAAGTACAAAGTTGTGAAACTGATCTTTTTCCCAGAAAAGCATAAATGAGCCCACACACATTGGCTCATGAGAGCTTTATGTGAACAATGCCAGTTAGCAGGAATAAAAATGTAAAATTGATGTTTAGTTCAAATGTTAAAATAAATAGCATGGGGCAAATTTCCTTTAAGCGGTATGTGTAAAACAGCAATAAAACCTCAGCTGAAAAAGCTTTTGGATTTTCACGGTTGGATTTTTAAGAAATTTTTGTGTTTTTAAAAACCGCTGTCAAAACAGAAGGTCTTAGCCCTAGACGCGACTTCACCGAGAGTGGATCGAGGCGGCATAGGAGCGGCTCTGATGGTGATCTCAGGCTCAGGGCGAGATAGGTCCAGAGTCTGGGGGCCACAGCAGCAAATGATCTGTCACCTTTGGTCTTTAGCCTGGTGCATTGCACAGTCAGTAGGCTTTGGTCACTGGACCTCAGGGACCTGCTGGGGGTGTAGGGACTAAGAAGATCACCAATGTAAGATGGTGCTTGTCCATGTAAAGCCGGGCGTACACTGTGCGACTTTTTCACTCGCAGCGTTCAGCTTCAGCTCAAACTGTACGACTTCCTCGCAGAGCAGATCTCACGAGTCATGCGCTCACACTGTACGACCCAGTTCTCGCATGCGACCTGACTGCTCACACTGTACGTCTGGTAGCAACACGTCGGACCTAAAAATATGCTAAAAATAGCAGTTTTTATTCAACACGTCAGACTTTTTTGTCTTGTTTTGCCTGTTGTCCTTCGGGAGTGCTGCAGGAGGACACACAGGGATTTATGGGGGTTGGATGAGGAAAACGAAATAAAGAAAGTAAATCTGTGTTTTGTGATCAGTTTAATTTGACATGAACACGACAAACACGCTTTCTTGACAATCTTTGTGAGTAAAAAAAAACATGTAGAAACAAAAACGAACAGCGGGTGTTATTAGAGAAATAGCAAGCGAGCGGCGTTGATGCAGGACTGCGCATGCGCCGTGAGCGGTTCTGATACTTTTTGGGTCGCAGCTGCTCGCAACGCCGCTTCAACAGTGCGATACCCTCACGAGGGACGAGCGAAATATCAAACACTCCAGAAGTCCGTGCGATCTCACGACTGCTGATCGGCAGCTGGTCACGTGGTGTTAATCGCCTCTCGTAAGCCTCTGTACACTACACGACCGCTCGGCGCAAAACTCGCCCCGATGTCGTGGATTCTCGCACGACTGGAAAATCGGCTCAAAAAAGTGAAAAAGTCGCACAGTGTACGCCCGGCTTTAGGTCCTATAGACCAGAACCAGGATCTTGAAATGAACCCTGAAGTTGACTAGCAGCCAGTGAAGCTGGAGGAGAAGCGGGGTGATGTGGGTGTGTTTGGAGGACTTGGTCAGAAGCCGAGCACAGGCATTCTGAACCACCTGTAGACGGTTCAGGGAGGTTCTGCTCAGACACGTGAAAAGAGAGTTACAGTAGTCTAAGCGTGGAGGGATATTGTCTGTGGTGTACTGTTCAGAGGCTCAACTGGCTAAGGCGCTTAGGCCTAAACAGTTTATGGGGGTTGAGGTCAGATGTGGGGGTGGGCATGATGGTCGCAAGTGTGGGTAGGCTCTCCGGTGCCCTAATTGTGGTGGGGGACATCAGGCGACTTTTTGCGGTTGTGCATCCTATCGGGAGGTGATGGCGGTGGAAGAGCTTCGAGCAGGTTGGCAGGTGTCCTGATACAAAATACTATTTTGGCGATGAAACTGTGTTGTTCTTCACTGTTTAGAGGAGAGAATTTTGATCTTCTATGATGATTTCTGACAAAGCTCATTAGCAAAATGAAAACTGAACCCAGCTCATCTTAGATGGTAAAGTGTAGTTACACTGAATTTCTCCATTTTTCTGACCAATAACTTTAACACTAGCTTCTACATAAACTAAAAATTGAGATATCTGGTTTCTGTTGTGGTTTTATGTCTATCTGCTATCCTATCTGCTTCCACAGAAAGTGGCTAATAATTAATCTGATTAACATAAAAATATTTGAATGAGGACTTAGACTGCAAAAGTCACCTTTTGCAGCCTTTTCAACTCCTGTGTAGGTCTCCACTGCCTCTATAAACACAGTAAACATGGAAAAAAATGTTTCTGTTTACAATCCATGATTGATTTTAGGAATTATGTACATAAAACCAGCCATTTCAAAAAGTCCCCATTTAGCTGCCTAAAGCTTGGTTTATGCTTGACGCATTCACTTTCCACGCGGTGATGCGGCTCGTGGCTGGAACGCGCTTCACAACTCGCAGCTTTTATGGTTCGTGCGGCTCGTCTCTGCGGTGAGCCAATATTCTCCCAAACTGAACGGGGCAGCATGGAGCTCTACGGCATGCACCCAACACTACACCATAGTAGAAGTAGAAATTACTGTTGTTTACAACATGGCATTTCAGCATTTTTAACAGCGTTCTCGTCTTTTCCGACAGTGCGAGCTATTTCTCTCCAAGAATTATTAACTACATGTTGATCACGGTGATCTCTGAGAGCTGAATCATACAAATGTCTGTATTTACGAACCTCTGCCATACTAGTTCTTGCTGGTCCGCCATGTTTTTCCGCATCCGTCCGTCCGCATGGTTAGAAATTTTCCGAGGTGAGCGTTGCGGAAATTCTGGGCCGTGCGGTGGAGGGGTGTGGTTGTTAAAATGACGCAAAATGACGCAACTTTTCCGCGCGGAGCCGTGCGGACCTCGCGGACGCGTCAAGCATAAACCAACCTTAAGTGTGGGATAGGTGGGCGTGGCCAGCACCAGCTTGTTGAGCTCTGAAGCGGCTCAAGAATAAAACTGCAGAAATTGCTTTATGTGAGATACATGTTTGTAAACAACTTCATGAACATGTTTTGTATCAAACAAGAACATCTTTTGAAAAAAAGTCATAACATGTCCACTTTATTTCCATCCAAAGTGAGACAATTGAAGGAAAATGATCAGATTCCTGTCTGAAACTTCATCAAACAAACACTATGTGAAAGTGACGCCCTGAAGAAAAACATGATCCTATGAAGACACAGAAGACACTGGTGTGAGAAATGCATAGGCTGGTCTAGCCATGGAGGAAACTTCTTTCATCTTGTTGATGCAAAACTACGACTGGACTGGGATTGTTTTAAAATAAGCTGCCAATGTTCAGAAAACAAAAGTCTAAAGAAAAGTTCTTGGTTGTTCAAGCCCTGTCTTACTCAGCTGTACGTTGGAAAAATAACATAACAAGTTGGTGGGTTTAGATAAAGTTTGTAAAAATGACCTCATTGGTTGTGTCTTTAGGCTGATGCCACTCATGACCGAGTGGTGAAGAGAGAAGATGGTGAGAAGCTTGCTAAGGTAACAAAACAAACCATTTACCACTGGCAGTTAATACTAGATAAATTATAAACATTAGTTGAATTTTAAATAAAATATGTTCACAAATTCACATCATGGCACGTTAAACACCAGTGTGCTCTTTTTCAAAAAGGTAAACTAATGACTAAAACTGATTAGTTAAACTGGTCTCACATTTAGCTGACTCTGATCTGTTTGAGGTTTTCCAATCAGGGTTCGGGTCTGGCCATAGCACAGAGTCGGCTCTACTGAGGGTCTTAAAATATATCTATCTGTCACTTGATCAGGGTACATCTGTGGTGCTTCTGTTGTTAGACCTGACGGCAGCTTTTGATACGGTTGACCACGCGATTCTGCTAAATCGCTTGGAACGATGGGTTGGGATCAAAGGGTCTGCTCTGGATTGGTTTAGGTCATATAATAGGACATTCTGTGTTAAACTGGGCAATGCCTTTTCTTCTTGGGAGGAGCTTCGCTGGGGGGTCCCGCAGGGATCGATCCTCTGTCCTCTTTTGTTTGCCATTTTATCCAAGTGGTGCTCGCTGCAGAACCACAAAGGCGGAGCTGCACCAGAAGGTGGAGCTGCACCAGAGTCAACCCCGCCCATTCCAGAATCAGCCCCGCCCATTCCATCAGAGTCAGTCCAATTCCTTCCAGTTGTCAGACTTGATAGCATTCTGGAATCAAAGAGGGTGTTATAGCTAAAAAATGCAAGATTGAGGACGGAGTTGAGAAGTTAATTGAGCAGTTTTTGTAAAGGTTCCATATAATTAAAAATCTAACTTTTGGAACTTTTTATCATGTTATATTGTCATTTCCTCATAAGAAACACGCCAAAGCCATTTTTAGCCTCATTCATGCATTTTCCTCCCATCTCAGCTTCAATTTGGTCTCCTCCCCCGAAGCGGGTCTGGTCTTGGTTCTCAAATCTGGATATTCTGTGAATTTTCTGACAAATTATTTCTGAAATGACTTCTGCTGAGACACCGCCAATAAACCATACATCCCATCTCAGAGACACACTGGAAAGCACAATTAGATGTAACGCCGCGTGAGTTATAATAGATGTTCTGGTGTAGTGGTTGTGGAATCAGGTAGACATGCAGTTTTGCGCAGGTTCGCCTCCCATTAGCGTAAGTTTTAGGTAGTGTACAACCTCTTTTCTTCATTTCTAGCTACACTTGCCAGTACTATGTTTACAACAATTTACTGATATACCGTTTAACATATAATGATTAATGTGTTTTTTTATTTATTTATTCGTTTATTTAGCCAGTGTGAGTCCATTTGTGAGCAGAGTTTCAACTAAAATGCTGTTTAGGAACGACCAAATTCAAAGAACTTTTAGAGACATAATTATTTTGCTGAAAATAAACATTACAACTAAAATATAAACAAATTAAATGTTTCAGCTGGCTAAATAGATTGCTGACGACCCCACCGAGAATCGAACCAGCATCAGCTGAGGCGAAAGCAAAAGTTAATTCAGGCGATCTCGCCACTAGACTACCAGAGCCAATTCTGCTATGCTGTTATACAGCACTTCTGTTAGACCAGCTGTAGGCAGATAGTCGCTAAGAGAAAGCTTTTCATTTCGAGATATATTCAGTCTTTGCCATGTAGCAAGTTATATTTATCTTGTTTAATTGGAACATAGAACATAGCATTAACGACTGTAAACTAGTAACAGCCGTAATTCATGTGGGTCAGGTCAGTTTGCGATAAAGTTGAAAACAAAAACGGAAGTCAGTGGGTAAGCTGAGTTTGCGTGAATGGGCGGGGCTGACTCTGGTGCAGCTCCACCTTATGGTGCAGCTCCGCCTTTGTGGTTCTGCAGCAAGCACCCTCTCATTTTATCTGCTTCCCCTGGGGGTCATTCTTTCGTAAACATGGCCTAGCGTTCCATCTTTATGCTGACGATTGCCAGATTTACTCTCCATTGTGTCAAGGCAAGGGTCTCTCAATCCAGTCCTTTGTGCCCTGCCTCAATGATGTGATGTCTTGGCTAATGGCCAACTATCTGCATCTAAATGGGGTGTGGCAAGATGGCGCCAGCGTGTTCGGCAAGCCGTCTGCTGTTCTCTATTTTTTTAATTTTTTTGCTGTTCTTGTGTTTTGTGGTTAATGTTGGGACTGCTATCCTGACTTATGACCGTGCCAACCTCCTGGATCTTCGTTCGCCTTGGCTCCCTGGCCAGGATTACCACCACTATAATCGCGAGACCCTGCAAATGCTGCGCTCTACTATTCCAGCCTCTCTGTGGAGAATCCCCGGTCCGTTGTGGTTCAGGAAGCGGCGCCGTCGGCGCGGTAAGCGTGGTGGCTCTCTGGTCCGTGTGCGAGCTGAGCTGGCACGCTCCTCGGGGTTCATGCAGTCTGGAATGGGTGTGCCGGCTCGATGCCGCTCTGTGAGGTGTTACCTGGAGTCTGTGGACCGGCGGCTCTTCTCCGCTCCCGGCTCTGCCTCTGGCCTCTGCGCTGCGTCCTCGTCTCACCCTGCTCCGTCTCCCTGCTGGTGCCACCGTGGTGTGGATTTCTCAAACATTCGGGTTCTGAAGCACATCTCTTCTCATACACCCAGGTTGGATCCAGTACCGCCATACAGGTTTGCCCTGATGAACACTCGCTCTCTTGGCAATAAATCATTCATTATTAAGGATTATTTTATTGACAATAACCTGTATTTCCTTCTCTTAACGGAATCTTGGATTACTCCTGATGATTTAGCCACTATTTCTGAAACTTTACCTGCTGACTGCGCATATTTTAATAATCCAAGAACAACTGGTCGTGGTGGTGGTCTTTTGACCATCTTCAAAAGGACTATTCTTTGTAAACCCATCACCTTCCCTGATTTTACCAGCTTTGAGTTAACTGCCTTTGAACTGTGTTCTTCACCTCCCGTTCTCTGTGCCTTGCTGTACCATCCTCCAAAATACAGCAAAGACTTTATAACCCAGTTTTCTGATATTTTATCTGATATCTGTTCACACTATGACCGTGTTCTTATCTTAGGTGATTTTAATATTCATGTTTGCTGCCCTGAGAAGCCTCTTGTGGGAGAATTTTTAAATGTTATTGACTCTTTTGGCCTGGCCCAGTTGGTTAATATGCCAACACATGAACGCTCTCATATTTTGGACTTGGTTCTCACTCATGGCTTGAAGATCACTGACCTGTTTGTTGATGCTGTCCATATTTCAGATCATTTCCCGGATTTGTTTCGCCTTCATAGATCCAATGCCTCTTTAATTAATTTAATGCCTGCTCGCAGAGCCCGATCTTTTACTCCATCTACTGCAACAGAATTCTGCACTTTGCTCACTGATCTTGTTTCCACTTTGCCGGTGTCTTCTAGCACTGATGATTTGTTGCACTTTTTTCAATCTTCCTGCCTTACTGTGCTAGATCAGATAGCCCCTATGAGAACTAGACGCTCTAAAGTTTGGTCGGATCCCTGGATCAGTGCAACTACCAGATCTGTCAGGCGTGAGTGCAGAAGAGCCGAGCGTAGATGGAAAAAGGATAAGCTTCAGATTTCATACCAAATAATGATAGATACCTGGGCTCGTTACCAGAAAGTAGTTAGAGATGCCCGTAATAAATTCTTTTCTAATATTATTACTGCATCCTTTGGCAACCAGCGTGTCCTGTATCAGACCCTCAATGCTGTTCTTTCAGCCAGTGACCACCACTCTCTTACCACCTCGGATGCTCAATGCACTCAATTTTTGAAATTTTTTCTTGGAAAAATTTCTAGTATCCGGGCTCAGATTAGTTCTCCCTATGTCACTAGTTGTCCTGAACCCATTCTGAATCGGTCTCTGGATAACTTTGACTTGCTTTCTTTGTCCTCTCTTGAGAACCTCCTGTCTGCCTTGAAGCCGTCAGGTTCTCCGGTTGACCCTGTCCCTCCACACCTCCTTAAAGAGACATATTCTGTCACTGGCCCCCTTATGCTGAGCATTATTAACAACAGCTTATCCACTGGTGTTGTACCCCGTGCTTTTAAACATGCAGTAGTTCAACCCATTCTGAAGAAGCCTGGCCTTGACACCTCTGTTATGAGTAATTTTCGCCCGATCTCCAAGCTTCCATTTTTATCAAAACTGTTAGAGCATGCTGTTTTTAACCAAATTATGTCTCATCTAGATGATCATGGTTTAATGGATCCCTTCCAGTCAGGCTTCCGATCCCTCCATAGCACGGAGTCGGCTCATCTTCGTGTTTTTAATGACATTTTATTAACCCTCGACTCTGGTTCTAATGTATTGCTGGTTTTGTTGGATCTGTCGGCTGCTTTCGATACGGTTGATCATGCTATTCTGCTGACTCGGCTGAACCAGCTGGTCGGCATCCAGGGGACTGCCTTAGACTGGTTTAGGTCCTACTTCTGTGACCGCACCTTTAATGTTATGATGGGTAGTGCTGCCTCCCCCTCTGCAGCTTTGACTTGTGGTGTTCCTCAGGGCTCTATACTTGGACCCCTTTTTATTTAATTTATATATTTTGCCCCTGGGTGACATTTTTAAAAAACACCACATTGATTACCATTTTTATGCAGACGATTGCCAATTATATGCCTCTGTGAAGCCTAATGACTCCTTACTGCCCCTTGTTGAATGCTGCAATGATGTGAAGAGCTGGCTGTCAGAAAATTTTCTTTTGCTGAACGACGCCAAGACAGAGGCCATCATTTTCAGCCCTGGTACTTCTCAAAGTCCCCAACTGACCCTTCCATTTATCACAAGTGGGTTGAAAAACCGTGTCACAAACTTAGGGGTTGTGATGGATGCTAAACTAAAAATGGACATTCATGTCAACCAGGTAGTTAAGACCTGTTATTACCACCTGAGGCGTCTCTCTAAAGTTAAGTCCATGTTAAAAAGGCGTCATCTCCATTCAGTTGTCCATGCATTTATTACTTCCCGTCTCGACTACTCTAACTCAGTGCTGTACGGTATCTCCACCTCCACTCTCGCTCGACTTCAGCTTGTGCAGAACGCAGCAGCTCGTTTCTTGACTGGCACCAGGCAGCGGGAACACATCACACCGGTTTTAGCAAATCTCCATTGGCTCCCCATCCATCTCCGGATAGAGTTTAAGATCCTGGTTTTTGTTTTTAAATCCCTCAATAACTTAGCACCTGGCTACTTGTCTGAGCTCATTCACCCATATGTCCCTACAAGATCCCTCCGTTCAGCTGACCAACACCTCCTACATGTCCCTAGTTCTTGCTGTAAGTCCCGCGGGGAGCGCGCCTTTTCAGTTTGTGCACCAAAGCTCTGGAACCACTTGCCCCTCCCGATCAGACTTTCTTCCTATCTTTCCCTTTTTAAGTCTCGTTTAAAAACTCACTTTTATTCTCTGGCTTTTAATTCTGTCTAACTTATTCCCTTTCTCCTTTTCTTTTCGAGTTGGATTACTTGATTTTAATGGATTTAGTTTTTATTTTTGATTGTTTTTATTGTGTGTTTTTGTTCAGCACTTTGGTTGGCTCTCATGCCGTGTTTAAATGTGCTATATAAATAAAATTGGTATGGTATGGTAAGTGAGGGAAAGACAGAGCTCATTGTTTTTCACTCCAACAGCCGGGCTGAGGGTCGTTATGTTGATCTTGGCCCTTTTTCTCCCTACTAAAAACCAGTTGTCACCAGTTTGGGGGTGAAAATTGACTCTGGACTTGAATTTGATGCTCACATCAACTCTATGATCCGGTACAGTTTCTTTCATCTGAAACGCCTTGTGAAAATCAAGCCTATGCTGTCGAGAGAAGAAGAAGAAGAAGGAAATATAATTTCTATAGCGCCTCTCAAGATAAAAATCACGAGGCGCTTAAAGCCCACCTGGAGTGGGTACTCCATGCTTTTGTAATTTCTAGGCTTGATTACTTCAACTCTCTATATGCAGGACTGTGTCATGCATATAGAGTCACTACTGTGTCATCACTGCGCCGCTTACAGGTTGTGCGGAACAGCGCAGCCAGGTTCCTGACTGGGACCAGGAAACGGGACCACATCAGTCCAGTTCTGGCCTCCCTGCACTGGCTTCCGGTTTGTTATCGTTCACACTTTAAACTCCTCGTCTTTGGTTATAATTTCTTAAAGGGTGGTGGTCCCCCCTATCTAGCCACACTCCTGAACAGACATTCCCCATCACGCGCTCTGCGCTCCTCTGACCAAGGCCTGCTCGCTGTCCCTCGTTCTAGGTGTCATACTCATGGGGACCGGGCTTTCTCAGTCCTAGCTCCGTCACTCTGGAACCAGCTGCCACCCTCAGTTAGGCTATCCCCATCTTTGCCGGTCTTTAAGAGTTGCCTAAAAACTCACCTCCTCCGCTTGGCGTTCCCTGAACGTGTTTGAGGTCGGCCCTCCTTTTTGTGTTTTTATTTCCCTGTTTTCACTGGTCTCTTTATCCCTTGTTTTATCCATTTGTTTCTACTTTAATACTTTACTTTTTTTGCACTATTTTAATTGCTTTTATTATCTATTTATTCATTGTGTTTAAGATTTCTTATGTACTGTGTTCAGCGCCTTGGGCTTCCTGACAGGAAGGCGAAAGGCGCTTTATAAATAAAGCTTTGATTGATTGATTACTGCAGGGTTGGATACTCCAAAGGAAACACATTTAAAAGCATTGTGCAGTTAGGCACTCACACCCGAATCCTTTTTTTTTTTTCTAATTAAAAACTAAAAGCTTTGTTTGTGAATGCTGGGGTGTAAGAGCGGTTTCATGTTGTGACTCTGCAGGAGTTTGGGGTTCCTTTCATGGAGACCAGCGCCAGATCAGGTCTCAATGTGGAGCTGGCTTTCACAGCTGTGGCCAAGTGAGTAAAGCTCTGATAAAAATGATAGCTGAAGTCAGTCCTGCATGGTGGTTTAGGGGGTTTTCTGAGTTTGTCCTATGTGTTTATTTACCTAGTTATTTATTTTTTTAAATGTTTATTTGTGTTATTTACGCTTAACATCTGTTTTTGTTTTCTAAGAAGACATGATGACACAATAAACACTGTTCAGTTTGGGTTGATATTTTGTGGGTCACATACTGATGTGAGGAAGTCGAGCATGTCCATCCTGCCTTGGGATCAGAGAAAATGAGTTAGTTAAGATTCTATTCTAATTTCAATTGTTCCATCATATAAAACAGATAATAAATGAATAAAGCAAATACAGTGCTTCAAAGCCCCTGAAGTGAAATGTATGTTTCTTGATACACACTTTGTGGTTATCTTGTGCACATGAATTTAAAAAATCCCCTTGGTTTGTTTTTACAGCATTAGCGGTTTTACTTTTTAACAATAGTAGCTTTTTATGTTTGTCAAAATGAATTTTAGGGTTTCTGAGCAGAGCAGCATCAGATACAGAGGGGTGTGAAAGTTTGAGCAGCCTTGTTAATCTTCATGGTTTTCCTTTATATATCCCTACTAGCACAGGTCTTTTGCAACAACGTTGTCGCAACGTATTTTCTGACACCTTGTGATGTTGCAGGAATGTCGTATGTTACGTAGTAGCGACTTCCAAAGTGAAATTCTGTATGACCCTCTGTTGGGTGTCAACATGTTCAGATTGTTTTCCATACATCTCCCCGTGGCTTGGATGAAAGAGATGAAAGGACAGATTGACTTAGTCCTCCTCAGAAAAATGGGCCTCCATTTGTGTGGCCCGATGCTGTGCTTCAGCCTGAAGGAAAAAAAAATGAGGTATACGTTAGTGAGCAATTAGTTTGTTTGTATGACTTTACTTGAACAGACCAAATAAACTACAGTACGTAAGCTACCATGCGGTAGCTACCCATGCGGCATTGTTTGAGGGCAGATATATGCTACTGCCTTTTGTAAACCAAAATTACAACTATAACAAGAAGCACAGGATTTAAAACTTTTTCTTACCTGAAGCAAGCGAACTAAAGAGTGAGTGGCTGACAAATAAATCAGACGAAGTAGCCAAACAGCAAAGAGCAACTGGAAATGAATCTTGTGGGAAAAAAACATGGGATAAAATAAGAACAAAAACAGAGGCAGATTAAGCTGATTGGAAGATATGGTCGTGGAAAATGTGATGACCATAACAAATCAGAGAACTGGCTGGAACATCAGTCACAGTAATTGGTTGATTTTCAGGGTTGTTACAACAAGCCATTCCATTGGGGGGCTGTGAGGGCAGTAACATGTAAATTAGCTTACATTTCTTTGCTGGTGGATTTTAGAAAGTAAACATTTGTAAACAGCAAAAATGAGTTTTTCAGAAAACAAAGTTTTAAAAAAAATCCAATTTTTTGGTAGAAAAACTGTTATAGAAGCCACCAGATATCAGTTTTTATTTTTTTAATTGTTTTATTTGTAGTTTTATTTACACACTTTGTAAACAACAACAACACACACACACCTTCATCATCATCAGTCCCCTCTTGCACAACATGTACCTTTCTTTGTTGGTGGTTTTCTGAAAGGTAACAAAGGGTATATAGGACAGGATACAGGATATGATTTAAAATGTTATCCTCGTCGATACTGATGTCACACAATGTCCATCCTCATTCAAGAATCTGATTAGCAGCTCCTCCTCAAACATTCCTGAATATTCAGAACTTGTTTTTGCCAAATTCAAAAAGGATTTTTTTTTCAGTAAACAAGTTGGAACAGTCCAAGAATTTGTTATTTTTATTAGAAAAACACTTCTTTAGCTATAAATGTGATTCAAATACTGCAACTACTAATTGTTTATTTAATTATTGTCAAAACTCTAATAATAATAAAAAACAAAGCATTAAAAGACCAAATTAAATTATATCTTTGTGTGTTATTTTTCATGTGTGTTGAGGAAAACATTTTTAATTTTAACAAAATCTAAATTAGAATCACAATATGGACGAGCTGTAAATCTAATTTGACAATAAAATCTCTCTTAAATTTTATTTATTCTGGAACTACAGTTATCACGTTGTAACAACGTAGCAGCAACGTTGTTATTCAAAGTGCCGAATAAGTTACAGAGGGGACGTTTAACAGAAGTTGTAAAGCGACTTCCTGAGGACGTTGTAGTGTGACGTAGTGCCCTGTGGAACATAGTAACCTAAACGTAGCAGCTATGTTGTCACTACGTCACAAACGAAACGTCGCAAAACGCGACTTTGTGGTGACTTTCTGTGTTAGTAGCGTTGTTGGTTGTTAAGATAAAAACATTCAGTTAAATATATCATAAAGCCTCTTTTATAAGACAGACCCTCGCATCATTACAGAGTGATAAATCTGAATTTGTGGGTCTCGTAAATGGGCCAAGGAGCAAAGGGGAAAGGTGATAAAACTCGTTTCTGATGTGCTTAAGTTGTTTTTACAGGACCATAGCATTTGTAAAATGGGATTTGCCGTGGCTCCCTGGGGAAGATTTTGACTTTTATAGTAGCAAAGCTGAAGCTAGAATAAACTGCCATCAGGCACCTTTCAAACCAGGACGGGAGAAAGGGAGGTCGCTGGGCAGCCAACTGCCACCCCACCCCCTCCCACGCCCCCCTCGCATGTGACGTACAGGGAAGCATTCAGCATCAGATGGAAGATACGTCATACTGATGAAATTTCGTTTTCAGGACCTTTAGCTTTGATGTGACCTGCTTTTTTCCCGGCAATTACTACAAGGCTAAGCGCATCAGAATCGAGTTTTATCACCTTTCACCTTTGCACCTTGCCGCATTTACGAGACCCAGAAATTCGGATTCATCACTCTGTAATGACACGATGGTCTGTCTTATAAAAGAGGCTTTAGCCTCGTAGTAATATTGCCGCATGAGCCCCTCGCCTCTGATGGCTAAACGTGTGTCAGCCCCGCTAAGCCCTTTGGAGCGACTGTGGGAGCACCCCACCCCCACCCACCCACCCACCCCCGCAAAAGAGGGTGGTCGTGTTAGTGACGTATATATAAACACAGATAAACATGGCCTCTCACTAGTATCTTTCAACAACCTACAACATGGCAAACTGGACGGACGCGGAGACCATGGAGCTTTTGGCTGTGTGAACGGACAAACAGATTAGTCCCCTTTTTACGGGGACGGTGAGAGACAGCCAGCTGTTCGACAGAGTGGTGAAAACACTGGCTGAGCGGGGCGTCAAGTAGGACAAAAAGCAGGTCACATCAAAGCTAAAGGTCCTGAAAACGAAATTTCGACAGTCTGGTGTGTCTTCCGTCTGAGGCTGAATGCGCGACCCTGTATGTCACATGCGGGGGGCGCCCAGCGACCTCTCTATATCCCATCTTGGTTTGAGAGGTGCCTGATGGCAGTTTTTTCTAGCTTCAGCTTTGCTACTATAAATGCCAAAATCCTCCCCAGGGTGCCGCGGCAAATCCCGTTTTGCAAACGCTATGGTCCTGTAAAAAAAGCAGTGATGTTTGAGAAGTGAAACAAAGTTTATGGGATTTACAGAAAGTGTGCAATAATTGTTTAAACAAAGTTAGGCAGGTGCATACATTTGGGCACCACAAACAAGAAATGAACTCAATATTTAGTAGATCCTCCTTTTGCAGAAAAAACAGCCTCTAGATGCTTCCTGTAGCTTCCAATGAGATTCTGGATTCTGGCTGAAGGTATTTTGGACCATTCTTTACAAAACCTCTAGTTCATTCAGGCTTGATGATTTCTGAGCATGGACAGCTCTCTCTGACTCACACCACAGATGTTCAGGTCTGGGGACTGAGATGGTTATTCCAGAATGTTCTACTTGTTCCTCTGCATGAATGTGGATATTGAGCGGTGTTTAGGGTCATTGTCTTGTTGAAAGATCCAGCCTCAGCTGTATCTGTGCAGCTTCAGCTTTGTCACTGATTCCTGGACATTGGTCTCCTGCTGATATTGAGTGGCATCCATGCATCCGTCAACTTTAACAAGATTCCCAGTCCCTGCACTGGCCACACACCCCACAGCATGATGGAACCACCACCATGTTTTGCTGTAGGTAGCAGGTGTTTTTCTTGAGCCCTTTTCAGATAGACATTCGGGAACATTTGTGGACAATTCAATCCGGTTTTTAACCGGAACTGTGTTTTCAGACACACCACTTTTGTACCGGAACTTGTCCTTCCAGCTGCGTTCACACAGCAGGGAAAAGTTCCAGATGTCTGACGGCGGCGGGGGGGGAGGGTGAATCGGACTTATGTTAAGAAGAAGAAGAAAATATCATTTCTATAGCGCCTCTCAAGATAAAAATCACGAGGCGCTTAAGCATAATTCTGCGCACACGAAGACACATAAGAGACCTGGAAGATGAAGCTCAATGGTTAAAGGAATCACGGAAGCGGTGTGAAGCGCTCCGTCGCGCGTCTAGGCGGTACCGTAGGAGGCGAGTTGCCGTGGTTCGCCGCATGCTACAGCAGCGGGCTATCTAGGTGCGCACAGCGTCCCCCGGTCCCCTTCTCCTCCCCCTTGTCCGGAACTCTACCTCACCAGTCTGAAGCAGCCACCCTGTCTGTAACAAGTCCGGACCTGTTACTAGGGGCTTCGTCCGGTTAAATTCCGGAACACGTTATCCAGATGTTTGCATTCAGACACAAAGGTCTTACGGACAGAGTCCGGAACATTTCCGTTTTTAATGGCCTGTCTGAAGGGGGCTTTGGAGTGTTCTTTTTCCTCCATGCATAACGCCCCTTGTTATTCCCAAATAACTCTGTTTTAGTTTCATCAGTCCACAGCACCTTCATCCAAAATGATGCTGGCTTGTCCAAATGTGCTTTATAATGCTTCAAGCAGCTCTGTTTGTACTGTGGGCGGAGAAAAGGCTTCCTCTGCATCAATCTCACATGCAGCATCTCCTTGTGTAAAGTGCACCGAATAGTTGAACAATGCACAGACTCCATCTGCAGCAAGATGATGATGTAGGTCTTTGGTGCTGGTCTGTGGGTGACTCTGACTGTTCTCAACACTCTTTGTTTTTGTTAATCTGAGATTTTTCTTGGTCTGCCACTTTGAGCCTTAACTTGAACTGTGCCCAGCGCCGGCGCTCCGCACACGCACACCACGCACAGCGCGTAGGGCACCACGCCGGGGAAGGGGCACCAAACGCAAGCTTATGAAAAAAATAATATATATATATGATAAAGACAGATTTCAATTAGAAGATGTGCAAAGCAAGTTAACAGCATGTTTACAGAGAGAAAACAATACAAAAAGGAAAGGAGATGGACCGTGTCCACTTTTCACTCTGTCCTGGACGTCCGGACTGGGGGGTTCTTGTATTGATGAAAATGTCCGGCTTTTCATCCAGGAGCAGGGATCGAATTATGGGGGAGCTGTATATCCTACACATCCAGGGGAGCCGGAAAAAGTTTTCTAACTATATGACATCATTTATGGACTCTTTGGAGCAGAGAGCACAGAGAGCGGCACAGCGCTGCGTTGTTGCGCAGCGCTCCAGGCAGCTGCTTCCAGTGCCCGGTCCATTCTCAAAGTGGCACAACCAAAATTAACACACGATCGTTCATGTCCGCTCATGTTCTCTACTTTCTGTCTTATTTGTGCCTGAAGCGCGCTACTGCGGAGCTCATCACCTGTGCTGCGGTGATTTCACCTCACTGACGCAGCATCGAATCGCGCTCTCCGCTTTGCGGTCAGGAGATCCCTTTGATCTGCTCAGAAGTAACTGATGAGGTGAAAAAGTAAGAATCCAGGCAGCAGGTTTTCTGGAGAGTTTAGAGGAGATGCAGGAAGATGAGAGACAGACAGGACAGGAAAATAGTTCAATAAAAACACGAAAACAAAACAAAGTGTTGAAAAGTAAAATGTAGGTAGATTTATCTTATCTCCACTACAAGTTTTTACCTGTATAAAACAATAAGTTACACACATGCAATATTTATACATCTGATACAATTCAGATCACCTTCAAGACTCAGTCACACACCCAGGGCCGTTTCAAGACATTTTGGGGGCCAAGGCAAAATGACCCCCCCCCCCCCCCCCCCCCCCCCCACACACACACACACACACACACACACACACACACAAAATATCAATCCTACTTTTTGGAAAATAATGAGCAGTTTGTGCATACAAGAGAATTTAAGGCGAAGCGCTCGCACATACTGTGTTATTGTGTTGTTTTTTCTGTATGTGTGTGTGTGTGTGTGGTGGTGGGGGGGGGGGCACCACAAAGCCTTTGTGCTTAGGGCACCGAAATAGCTAGCAACAGCCCTGACTGTGCCTGTAGTCTTCCATTACCTTAGTAGGTTCCTAACTGTGGAAACAGACAGCTGAAATCTCCGAGACAGCTTTCTGTATCCCTCCCTAAACCATGATGGTGAATAATCTTTGTTTTCAGGTCATGTGAGAGTTGTTTTGAGACCCCATGTTGCTGCTCTTCAGAGAATATTGAAAGAGGAGGGAAACTTACAATTGCACCCCTTAAATACTCTTTCTCATAACAGGATTCACCTGTGTGGAGGTCAAGGGTCACTGAGCTTGCTAACCTATTTTGAGTTCCAGCAATTAGTTCTGAAGGTTTTGGAATCAATATAATGCCAAAAGTGCCCAAATTTATGCACCTGCCTAATTTTGTTTAAACAATTACTGCAGACTTTCTGTAAATCCAAACTTTGTTTTACTTCTCAAACATCACTGTGTGTCTTCTATATGATATTTAACTCGAAAATGTTACCGAAGCAACCAACGGCTTACAGGAAAATCATGATGACTAACAAGGCTGTCCAGACTTACCTCTAGGTGACGGCACTCCCTCGCTGCTGCAGGTGAAGCTCATTTTTAATGCAATAGGAAACGACTTTCCTGCTGCGACTGGAACCACGGGTTTATATTTTAATGAATTCATATTACATTTATTTTTTCAGGAATCTTCAGCTTGAATTTATTTATTTGTTTGTTTGTTTGTTTGTTGCCATCTGAAGTGGTACACCTTCTTAGTTGGAGCAGAAACATTTTCAAATGTGAATGCTTCTGTGAGTAACTTGAATTTCTCTAAACCCTCTCATGGTTTCCTCAGGGAGCTGAAGCACCGGTCCGTGAAGGACTCCAGTGAGAAGTTTAAGCTCCAGGAATATGTGAACAAGGAGATGAAGGGTGTGGGCTGCTGCAGGTCCTAAACAGCTCCACATCTGTGGCTATGTCCTGATTACTCATCTTTACATTGTTGGTGACCATTTCTGGACTCCTCCAATACTAGGAGTCAGAATCACAGAGGTAGAAACGTTGTCCTCCACTCGTCATGCTTCTCTTCTCCTGCCTCTTTAGCTGTGAACGTATAGCCCAAGGTTAGGATTCAAACAGAAAAACGACCCACCTCAGTTCATTCCCTGTTAACTGTCGCTGCACATTCATCATTTTAACTCTGAAACATAATGCATTACCTTGTCTATTGAATGTGTTTTAAAGGAATGTCATCTCATGTTGAACTGGGAAAAGCAGCATGTTTAAAGTGTTTTATGCTCCTGTGTATTTCTGATTGGCAGCTTTTGTTTACATGTTGTGGATGAATCCACTAGATGCTTTGTTGCTGGTCCTCCTGTCTTCATGAAGTGGCTCGACAGACTCACCAGCATCAGCTCGAACTGTGTTCATCAGTCAGGTTTGGACACTAGAGAATAAATGACCTCACCCTTCAACAAAGGCAAAAGGACTTATGGCAACATAACACTGCATTAATTACATTGTGTATATGTCTGAAACACTGTAAATGTACAGAAATGTGTGTCCTGTACTGGTTTGATATGAACTGCACAATCTTTCATTTCTTGAAATAATTTCTAATATAACGATCGGACATGACATGTAATCTATATATAGTGGAGATTTTGACAAACAGGCTGTAAAAAAATTTTCTTGCACAAAAAGCTTCAGAGGAAAGAAGCTCTTTAGTCAGGAAATAATGCTAGTACCAGAGAGTAACACATACGATAAGTGTTGTTTATGAAATGTCTCAAAAATCTAATAAGCTGTTCTAATTGTTTTGTTTTTCTTCTTTTAAATCTAAATATTATAAATATTATTGGGGCATAACATGCTATGATTTGTTTTCATATAAAGCTCCACCGTGACCTTCAACTTTCGCTGGTGGTCCCCTTATTTAAAAAGGGGGACCGCAGGGTGTGTTCCAACTACAGGGGGATCACACTCCTGAGCCTTCCTGGTAAGGTCTATTCAGGGGTTCTGGAGAGGAGGGTCCGTCGGATTGATGAACCTCAGATTCAGGAGGAGCAGTGTGGTTTTCGTCCTGGCCGTGGAACACTGGACCAGCTCTATACCCTTAGGGGGATCCTGGAGGGTGTGTGGGAATTTGCCCAACCAGTCTACATGTGTTTTGTGGATTTGGAGAAGGTGTTTGACCTCGTCCCTCGGGGGGCCCTGTGGGGGTACGCCGGGAGTATGGGGTACCAGGCTCTCTGATACGGGTTGTTAGGTCCCTGTATGACCTGTGTCAGAGCTTGGTCCGCATTGCCGGCAGTAAGTCGGGCTCGTTGCCAGTGAGAGTTGGACTCTGCCAAGGCTGCCCTTTGTCACCGATTCTGTTCATAACCTTTATGGACAGGATTTCTAGGAGCAGCCAAGGTGTGGAGGGCATCCGTTTTGGTGGCCTGAGGATCAGGTCTCTGCTTTTTGCAGATGATGGGGTCCTGTTGGCTTCATCAGAACATGACCTTCAACTTTCACTGGAGCGGTTCGTAGCCGAGTGTGAAGCAGCTGGGATGAGAATCAGCTCCTCTAAATGCTTCTCCGGGTCAGGGATGAGGTCCTGCCCCAAATGGAGGAGTTTAACTATCTCGGGGTCTTGCTCACGAGTGAGGGAAAACTGGAGCGTGAGATCGATGGACGGATAGGTGCTGCATCTGCAGTGATGCGGGCGTTGTACCGGTCAGTCGTGGTGAAGAGAGAGCTGAGTCAGAAAGCGAAGCTCTGGATTTACCGGTCGATCTACGTTCCTACCCTCACCTATGGTCATGAGCTTTGGGTAGTGACCAAAAGAACGAGATCACGGATACAAGCGGCCGAAATGAGTTTTCTCGGCAGAGTGGCTGGGCTCTCCCTTAGAGATAGGGTGAGAAGCTCGGTCATTTGGCAGGGGCTCGGAGTAGACCCGCTGCTCCTCCACATCGAGAGGAGCCAGTTGAGGTGGCTCGGACATCTGGTCAGGATGCCTCCTGGATGCCTCCCTGGTGAGGTTTTCCAGGCACATCCAACCGGTAGGAAACCTAAAGGTAGACCCAGGACACGGTGGAGGGACTATGTCTTTCACCTGGCCAGGGAATGCCTTGGGATTCCCCCGGAGGAGCTGGCCCAAGTGGCTCGGGAGAGGGAAGTCTTGGCCTCTCGCCTTAGTCTACTGCCCCGTGACCCGACTCCGGATAAGCGGATGAAAATGGATGGATGGATGGATGGATAAATCTCCATTTATTTTCTTATATACAAACATATAATCTATTGTTTTGGTTACATTTCATGCCAGACACAGAAACCGAGTGAAAAGCTGTTGCCATGGTGTTCGTTTTTCTGTTTTATTCAACAGCAGTTCTGTGGAAAAGTATTTTAACCCCTAACTTATTTTTGCTTTTGTCTCACACTTAAATGTTCAGCAAACAAAAATGTAGTATCAGACTAAAGTAAAACCAAAACTCTGTTTCCAAAAGGTTTAAATCAGTTATCAAAACCACTTTTGTTGACTTGCTTTAACGGCCTTTAGCAGTAATAGAGTCAGTCATTTTAAACACATGGTTGTGATGACTGGTGATGAGTCACATCCGATGGTCACATCACTGGACTCTACAGAACTGTATTAATCAAGTCAAATTGGAGGGTTTTCCAGCCTGCATAAGGTCAAACATTCACCTTTAGGATTTTCTTGTAGAGAGCAGAAGTTATGGTTCCACAGGCCCCAGCCCCAGATCATCATACTTCTACCACCATGTCTGGCTTGTTCTTTTCTTAAAGTTCACCAGGGGTAACAAGACACGCACCTTTATGTCAGTTCAGAGAATATTCTCCCACCAGTCTTAGGGATCACCCTGGTGTTTTTGTAAATGTGAGACCAGCAGAGATTCTGGCCTTGGAGCTCTCCTGCAGAGACCATTTTTCCTTCTCCTGAGAGGACCAACATCTGAGACCTGCTTCAGATGTTGTTCTGGGTTAGAACAAGGCATGCTGCTTAAAGTCAGAATCCCATTAGTCATCACGCCCGGGTGAAATTTGTTCTCCGCATATGACCCATCCCCTGGGGGGGGGGACCTGCAGATGGTTATCCCCCCATCTCTGGGGGGGAATGACCATCCTTAGGGTTTATGGTATGACCCCACTGTGGATTTGAACCCTCAATCTCCCAGTCTCAGGATAGACACTCATTACGCCACTGAGCTGGTCACGATCTAGATTCTGCTGAAGTGACCGCTTCATCCCACAGGGCCAATTAGGTCTGGGTGGGGCTCATGAAATTAAAAGCTGCTTCCATCGAGTACCTTTTCATTGCACCGCACATTTCAATTACCTCTTGTAAATGAATGACTGTGATTAATACCAACAGATGTTTGTGGCATTCACACTTTTAATATCAACCATGTCTCAAACTGAGTTAAACAAATTGTCTTCTAGCTCCAACAGCTCTGAGCCAGACTCACACGTATGACAACGGGTTTGCTGGCTCTGCAGCACAGCATGGAGGTCTTGACTCTTCAGATCTGAATAAAGTAACTCCTGCACCCTCATGGTCACATGACACATGTGTGTCTTACTGCCAGTCCCTTTAGTGACTCCACCAGTTTGATGAAGGGGGCAGCAGCAGGAGGGTTTGTGTTTGAAATGTTTTAAAAGTTTGTCTCCCCCTGCTGGATAACAAAGGACAAGGTGTGACAGTAAATACTATAATAGTATACTATACTAGAATTATATATATATATATATATATATATATATATATATATATATATATATATATATATATATATATATATATATAGGGAAATAGTATAAAGATGTTACAGTAAGCTAGTTAATTTACAAAAGAAGCATATCAGTGCACAGCATTAAATACATCTGCAAATGAGATTTAAAAAAAATAAATAGGAATAATTATCATACGCTTATTTAATGTGTGTGTGTGTGTGCGTGTGCGTGTGCGTGCGTGCGTGCGTGTGCGTGTGTGTGTGTGTGTGTGTGTGTGTGTGTGTGTGTGTGTGTGTGTGTGTGTGTGTGTGTGTGTGTGTGTGTGTGTGTGTGTGTGTGACCATGTATACAAGCTGTGTGTTATGTTAATATCACTTTCATGAAACTGTGCTGCAATGCAAACTTAGTTCTGCCAAGAAGGGAAGAGAAGACTGACGTTTCTTCACACGTGAGCAGCAACAGCTCCGTCTTGTTTTAAGTATATTAAAGCACATCATCAAAGGTTCATGAGTCAAAACGTGCCAGACGCCTCCAGGAGGAAGGAGTCTGCAGCCAGTTCTTCTAGAAGCTTTTCTCTGAGATGCACCAGAAGTTGTTGAGTTGATCATGGCTTGTGCTTAAAATATGCCTCCACTGCACAACAGAAAAAAGTATCACATCAGACTAATTTTGTTTTTAAAAATGGGAAAAGCAAAAGGGATTTCCTCTTCTACTCACCTGCGTACTCCTGCGGGAGCATCGGTCTGTTGAGGACAATCTGGAACGCTGCTATCCAGTCCTCCCTGTCCTTCTCAGTCTCACAAGTAACAAGAAACTTCCTGTCCGGAGTCACTATTGTAATTCCAAACTGCCAGTGATATCCCTGAACACTGGGTGGAAGGATGGGGAGAACAGAGTAGCTGTGATCCTTATTGCCAATGAACACCTCACCTCGAGCATAAGCATCCTGAAAGAGGACAAAGACACACGCAGTGCTGTCAGATTTGGACACGACAAGACAGCATGTCAGCGTTTAGCTGATTTGTTCATCAGAGACACGGTTTTATGCCCAGGTGCAGAACTCTAATACCAGTGGATCTTTGAAGTACATGAGTCTCCTGTCGTCCATCGTAAACCACCTCTTCTTGAATCCCTCCGTGTGCTAGAGGACAAAACCAGAAAGAGCGGTTGTCAGTTACTTTATTTTTGTTTATCTTGTCCTGTTAGATGTAAATTACCACAAATGGGCCAAATAGCAACAAAACAAATCACCTTCGGACCTGTCTTCTCCATGTAACCCTCCTTCAAGTAGTTCCTGGTTAGCTTTGGTAACCACTGCAGAAAAATTAATCGGGATAAATTACAGCATTTCTGTACTCGCTTACAAGGATCTAATTTATTTTTTAATCCAGTATTACAGGATTTAGATCTCAAATGCACTTCAACAACACTTCAATGTAAATAGAAACCTTTTGTTGGAAAATAGATTAGATTATAATTTTGAAATCATGATGACAATAACAATAACAATTGGTGGCATAACTGAAGCGTCAGCGGAAGCGTCAGCCCTTGTGTCTCAGCCCATCCGGTGTAAGACACTCCGGGGTAAAGACATACGTGTCTACCTGCGCGTGTCCACAGAGCAAACAAGCTTGACCCTGACGCTGCTCCATCGACACCTTGCGAAATGTGCCATTATTCTATACCTGTGGTCGCTGGCTTCAGAGGAAGGTCACACACAGCAAACCGCTTTTGCAACCTTCAAAATCTCCGCTCGCTAAAACCAACTCCCCCCAAAGACATCCACCTGTCTATGGGACTTTGGAACTGCCAATCGGCTGTAAACAAAGCAGACTTCATTACCGCATATGCAAACCACCTGTCACTCCATGCACTGACTCTCACTGAGACCTGGATCAAACCATGTGACAATGCTACCCCATCTGCTCTCTCAGTTAACCACACTTTCTCCCACACTTCTCGTGCATCTGGCCGAGGTGGTGGAATGGGCATGTTAATTTCCAACAAATGGATATACAGTCAGTTGCTACCCATCACTAAATACAACTCCTTTGAATACCATGCCATCCAGGTGACTGTACCGAAAAAATTCTTTTTGGTTGTCATATATCGACAACCAGGTCAACTTAGAGACTTTCTTGATGAACTCGACACCCTGCTTTCCTCCATTCCTGAGCACGACTGTCCCGCAATGGTCCTTGGAGACATGAATATTCACCTGGACAATCCCAGCTCATCAGGCTTCCTGTCACTAATGTCATCATTTGATCTAAAACTAGTACAAAGTCCTCCAACTCACAAAACTGGAGAAGCACTTGACCTCATTTTCACCAGAAACTGTGCCATAGACACAATCTCTGTCACACCGCTGCATCTTTCCAATCATTACTTCATCCAATTCAGCACGACTCTACAAGGGAGGTCCACTGCTTCCTCCCCAATGGTCTCATTCCGCCGCAACCTCCGCAATCTGGCACCCAACTACTTCTCCTCTCTTGTTGCCTCCACTCTTCCATCTCCCAGCACATTATCTGCTTATGAAGTGAATGAAGCCACCGAGTCACTCTGCTCCACACTCTGCTCTTGTCTTAACAACTTGTGCCGTTTAGCCACTAGACCTGCTAGATCCTCTCAGTCACAGCCTTAGCAAAATGAAACCCTCCTGTCTCTATGCACCAATCTTAGAGCTGCGGAACAGAAATGGCACAAAACAAAAGATCCTGGTGATCTATTGAAATTTCAGGAATTACTGTCCTCATTCTCTGCCAGCGTCACTGATGCAATGAAAGCTTTCTACACTGACAAAATTCTCAGCTCTACTGACTCTCAAAAACTATTTTCGACATTCAAAACTCTGCTCAACCCTCTATCTCCACCTCCTACCAACAATCTATCAGCTGACACCTTTGCCTCATTCTTCATTGACAAAGTGGCAGCTATAAGCAAACAGTTTACTCAACTGGCCACTCCAGAACATTCGCTATCACAAAACCCCTTCTAGCCCAACCATCTCAAGCCCTACTGCTTCATTTTCCTCTTTTTCCCCTGTCACTGAGAACTGTGTGTCCAAGCTTCTCACGTGCAGCCGCCCTACTACATGCCCACTTGACTCCATTCTGACTAAGCTGCTCCAAGCTATTGCTCCTACAGTAGCCACAGCAGTCACACGTGTGATCAACGCTTCACTGACATACGGTACATTTCCCACCTCTCTCAAGCATGCTCAGGTTAAACCTCTGCTAAAAAAAACATCTCTTCCTCCAAATCATGCGGAGAACTACCGACCTATCTCTCTCCTCCCTTTTCTGTCCAAAGTCATTGAAAAGGTGGCTTTCAAGCAGATCACAGAATACCTCTCACAAAACTGTCTGCTTGACCCGTACCAATCTGGGTTCAAAAGGGCCACTCCACTGAAACTGCTCTGTTAGCAGTGACTGAATCCTTAAAAGAAGCTAGAGCGACTGCCAAATCCTCAGTGCTTATCCTGCTCGACTTATGGGCTGCATTTGACACCGTCAACCATGGCTTCCTTTTGTCCACACTTTCTAGCATGGGCATCAGAGAGAAAGCACACGCCTGGTTTGAATCGTACCTCACAGGATGATCATTCAGTGTATCTTGGCTTGGACAATCCTCTACCGTGCACCATCTTGCCACAGGAGTCCCCCAGGGCTCTGTACTAGGACCTCTTCTCTTTGCCATATACACCACCTCAATGGGTGAGATCATTTGATCACATGGCTTCTCCTACAACTGCTTGCAGACGACACCCAGCTCTATCTGTCATTTCCACCGGAAGACCACACTGTCTCTGCACGAATATCAAACTGTCTCTCTGACATATCAAAATGGATGAAATCCCACCATCTCCAACTCAACCGCTCTAAAACTGAACTACTTGTCATCCAAGCAAAACCATCCATACAGCACAATATCTCAATCCAGAATGACTTCCTATCTCAGGCTCCTTCAAAGGCAGTTCGAAATCTGGGTGTTGTGATTGATGAACACCTGACCTTTAAAGATCATGTTGCCTCTGTTGCTTGTTCATGCCGCTTTGCGCTGTATAACATACGAAAGATCAGACCATACCTAACACAACATGCCACCCAGCTCCTGGTGCAATCTACTGTCATCTTCCGTCTTGACTACTGCAATGCCCTTCTAACTGGTCTTCCTGGCTGTACTGTGAGACCTCTTCAAATGGTCCAGAACGCAGCGGCGCGTCTGGTCTTCAATCAGCCAAAAAGAGCACACTTCACCCCTCTGTTCATTGAGCTCCACTGGCTACCGCTAGCAGCACACATCAAATTCAAATTGCTAACTCTAGCATACAAAGTCCGAGATGGTACGGCTCCCATCTACCTGAATCCTCCTGCAAAGGCTTACGTCTCGGCCCGGCCACTCCGGTCATCACAGGATCGTCGGCTAGCAGTGCCTACACCACGCTCAGGACAATCCAGACTTTTCTCATGCATTGTTCCACAAATGTGGAATGACCTTCCAAGCACTACCAGAACTGTGGCTTCCTTTTCAATTTTCAAGAAACTCCTGAAGACCCTGCTCTTCAGAGAGCATCTTCTTAACTAGCACCTTGCCTGCACCCGTCCCCCCTCTCTACTGTCCACTCCTTGTTCCCTACTCTCCATGACTGATGTCAATGTTGTTGTTGTTATTGTTGTTGTTAGCCTCAAGGGCAATATGCCGATTATCACTTGTAAGTCGCTTTGGACAAAAGCGTCTGCTAAATACATAAACATAAATATAAGATCGGACCAGTGATGACGTGTTTAGTCGCATGCTGTCCTTCAACCGCTGGTTGTCTAGGTGGTGTCCTGAAAACGTGGGCTACGTTGATAACTGGAAAACTTTTTGGGGAAAACCTGGTCTGATGCGAAGAGACGGCATCCATCCCTATTTGGATGGAGCAGCTCTTCTTTCTAGGAACATGGCCAAATTTATTAGTCCTCCATGACATCCCAGGGTCCAGACCAGGAAGCAGAGTCATAGTTGAACACACCCCTCTGCAGCTTCTGTACTGTTACCCACCCACTACCCCATTGAGACAGGGTGCTGCTCACGGCCAAAATCACATGGATTAAAAATCAGGCTTAATAAATCAAATCATAAAAATCTCATAAAAATTAGAACGATTTCAACTGTTACATCTTTACTGTCCTCAGCATCTCAGAGGAATGTAGCAGAGGGCAATATTTTCATTTCTAGCCCTTCACAAATTGATGGTCTAGTTCATAATGTTACTTCTTCTTTATGTGTGGCATTAGATGATGCTGCCCCTTTAAAAATCAAGGCAAATAGGCAGAGGAAGTTGGCTCCCTGGTTTAATTCTGATCTACAAACTTTAAAACAGAACTCTTGAAAATTGAAGAGAACATGGCGCTCTACACACCAGGAGGAGTCCTACTTATCATGGAAAAATAGTCTTGTGCTTTATAAAAATAAGCTTCCACAAGCTAGAACTGCATATTTTTCATCACTAATTGAGGAAAATAAGAATAATACTAAATTTCCTTTCAGTACAGTTGCCAAACTTACATAGAATCATACCTCTGAACCATCTATTCCCTTAGCCCTCAGCAGCAACGACTTTATGGGAATTTTCACGAGTAAAATTAATTCTATCAGAAACAAAATCATTAGCATCCTGCCTAATGCGACTTCTTCTTCCTCAGTAAGTGAGGCAGCATCAGAGGTAACTGTAGAGCCTCATCTGTGTTTGAACTGTTTTGATCCAGTTGAGCTTTCAGAGTTTTCAAAATATTAGCTTCATCTAAACCTTCAACTTCTATTTTAGATCCAATCCCAACCAAATTATTTAAAGATGCATTTCCTTTGGTTACTGCCTCAATCTAGATATAATCTATCTATCCTTAGTAAATGGATACGTACCACAGGATTTTAAGGTTGCTGTAATCAAACCTTTACAACATGCCGATTATCACTTGTAAGTCACTTTGGACAAAAGCGTCTGCTAAATACATAAACATAAACATAATACAGAAAAGTTATGAATAATGAATCTGAACATTTGTAACTCAATTCCAACCTTTGACATTTTTCACATGCACCACACAAACAAGAGCAAATCTTCCTGCTTAAAACTCTTGAGTATTGTTTTAAGATGACATCATTCTATTCAGCAGAAGACCAGTCCGTCCGGCCAGGCCGAGTCCGTCGGCTACGTGAGGTTAAGGTGGGCTTTCAATAAGTCTACATGTTCCTTTACAAAATCTGTGTGTCAAAATAACAGAACACACATATTTTTGACCATGAGTCAAAAGTTGGTTTGGCTCCGATATTCAACAAATACGTATTGTGTTTTTTCAGACTGGGGATGTGCATCATTACGTACTTACCTCAGAGTCAGGAGCACCAGGAAAAGCCACCTGCAGGTAGTGAAGCCTGGCTACTCTGATGGCATTAAACCAGTCCACCATTTCCTTCAGGGTGGGACATCAAATCAGAAGAACAGAAAAAAGACAGATACAGACTACACTAAACACAGAAAAAACTTCAAAGAAATGTGTATAATTAATATTAAAGTTTGATTTTACAGCCATCTGCCACTAGATGGAGACATGCATTCCTCCCTAACAAGCACCATCCTTTCTCACTCACCTTCCCATCCTCATGATAGACAAAGATATTTCTGGTGCTGTTGTCCTTCAAATAGGTTATCTGCATCCCATGAGGAGTTCCAATTTTACCTGGCTGGAATGTGGCGTTTATCGTATCAATCTTCATGATCGCTTTGGGCTCTCTGGCCTGCAGGAGGTAATAATGAGTTCAGACCAGAATTAAGATCCAAAACATAATGAAGTCTTAAAAGTCTGGATCATTATGATGTCACTCACGTCATTCTTGTTGAAGTATTTCAGAACACCTTCGCGTTCTGACAGAATAAATTTTCTGTTGAGGTATTGTCCATTGTCTCGTCCTCGTTTCCATAGAAACCCTTCTCGGTAGCCTGGCAGGAAAAGAGTCACAAGGACCCTTTTTACAAAACTTTATTAACACAGTAAAGTCCAAAACAAAATGGATTTCAATGTTAAGTGTGCGTGTGTGTGTGTGTGTGTGTGTGTGTGCGTGCGTGCGTGTGTGTGTGTGTGTGTGTGATGTATCTGCACACAGTCAGCGCTTGTGGTGACTGTTCGAAAAACCTTATCAGTAATAGGAGGAGGAACATCTATTGTTTTGTTAAATAAAGCATGCACACATGCATGCACGCACGCATGCACGTATGCACACACATATGCACATGCACGTATGTACACACATATGCGCACGCACGCATGCGTGCATGCATGCACACACACACACACACACATGCATGCACACAGAGCCTACCATTGACCCACAAGCTTCCTGAGTGCTTTTCTGTCTCTGACCACAATGTCCACATTCTGCACTAGCAGTAGCAACAATCAGACACACACTCATTCTTAATGCCTTCATGTGAGAGCACTGACAGGAAGCATTCATGGTTGTTGTTTTTTTTCCTTTATTACCAGCATGTCTTACTTTCAGTTGTATTAATGTAGCATATTAATACAAAGATTACATTAACAAAGCTAGTTTTACTTAGTTCCTAAAAGGCTCAACTCTAATAGTCGCTTGTGGGTTTTGTTTCACATTTCCATAAAACTAGTTGCTACTTTCAGAAAGGTGTGATAAAATGCTATAAGCCCTATTCACAATAGTACTCTACTGCACAGGAATTGTCTGAAAGCAGACTATATCAGAAATAACTCAATTAAACCACTTTCCCAATGAGAAACTGTGCAAGAAAACCATTTCCTTATCAAGCCTCTCAAATGAAACAATGCGTCAGAGGAGTAACTCTACTTTCTTTCATGAATCAACCTGAAATCGAAGTGGGTTTTGCTGAAATGTTGTGAATAAATAATATATGACATGTTGGGGTAGCTTTTTGAATCACCTCAGTTTGGAAAAAGAAAGATTAGTTCTGATCAGAACAAAAGTTCTTACCACCATCTTTAAATATTTTCAACTAAAAAATAAATCATAGCGGTTATTGCAAATGCATTTTTTTTCTAAAACACTAATACATTTCTTTGATTTCCATTAAACTGTACAATCCTGGAAAATCTTTGTCCAATCCAGTGCTGGTTCCTCTAAATGATTGGATCATAATCTATCCATCAAACCGCTCCTCTGAGCTTCTCTCACCCCACTTCACAAAACACCCTTTTTGTTCAAAATGCTTCTTCTCTGCCTTCTATGGTGGAGCTATTGAACAACAAGAGAAGCTAGCTGAACTGCCCATCTGTGTTAATTTCTGATTCAACAGAGGCAATAACAGCCTGAATGAGCATAAAGCAAGATCAAAACTTAAGATAACGGTTTAATTTTATTAAAATACTTTCTTTTAAGATTATAGATTGTATAAAATGTATACTGTAATAATTTAAGCTGCGTGTTTATAGTTTGTTTTTGCGCCTTCAGTCCATTCAAATTAATCTATTTCTTCTTGAATGTCTTTCCACTATCATGTGATTAATTTGTCAACATTTATAAATGTTGTAAGCTATTGTATTTAGCAGAAAATCTTTTTAATTAAATGTATTGATTAAATGTAAACAGAGCGAATAAGATAAACATATTTGCTCTGTTTACGTAGTTTAACGACACCTAGTGGTTACTTACTGGTACTACTGCCTTGACAATGACGCTGCCAATGGATAAGGATAATTTATTAGCATTTAATACAGCTGTGTAATGACGTATAAATGATTAATATTAAAAAATAGTCTGATCGAATGTTTAACATACAACACATGACATATTTTGGCATACAAACAACCAATTTGTAACCAAAGACTAGGCTATGTAAAATGTGAATGAACTTTTATTAGTAACTTTGGTAAGTTTCAGATTTCAATTCATTAAATAACATCGATGGAGGTGGGGGGGCCCAAAAAAATGCAGCCTGCCTAGTGTAGTCCATTTATTTAATCCTGCTCTGTGTGTGTGTGTGTGTGTGTGTGTGTGTGTGTGTGTGTGTGTGTGTGTGTGTGTGTGTGTGTGTGTGTGTGTGTGTGTGTGTGTGTGTGTGTGTGTGTGTGTGTGTGTGCGTGTGCGTGCGTATGTGCGTGCGCGCTCGTTGCCAGACTCTGAACCTGGTTTTTCACTGCCAATTTGACCTCTTATTCAGATTGACTTGGAGCATTTTCTCGTACAATAACTAAAATAAAAGTGAAACTGACTGACAGATTCCAATCAAAGCACTCAAAAACATTTTCATTGGTTGTTGGTCTCTGAGCATGTCAATCAAAATCAGCCATTTCCCCAAATCTGCAGTTTGTTTTTGTTTGTCTTCACATTTGTTTCTTAGTTCATGTCAACAAGGTTAGAAGCAAAGAAAACAGTGATTTTGTTTTCCTCCACTTCTTCTAAAACTGTCACTCTGCCCACAAACGACAGAGGAGAAGAGGTGCAGAGGATAAGCGTGTGTGTAAAAAATATTTAAACACTGTTGTATGGAAGGTTTGTAAACAAAGAGGGCTTTCTTTTCCCGCCACATGCCTCTAAGCCTCTGCACAGAATAGCACAATAGGCCTTTGGCAGAAAAACTCAGTGTTCAACAGTCATGAGACTCTGATAGCAGGACTTCATCCTCTACCTGAAACTTAGCTTAGATGTTTGCATTACGCATGCAAATTATCAGGATAATCTTTTAAAAAGTAACTTTTTACAGGCTAATTTTAGGTAGACTTGACCAACTCATATTAAGAGTTTAGTGGATTTGTATTTAAAATAAACATATTAGAGGTCTGTTGGGGTGCAGGCAGCTCTGACCGAGACAGGAAGAGACTGAACAAGCTAGTTCACAAAGCTAGCTCGGTTCTGAGCAAGCCCCCACAATGCGGCTCAAAAACTGAAGCAATCCCGGAAGTTCCAAAAATTGCAGTTCCACCCTCATCCGCTGGGGGCTGGTGTCAGAAGCGAGCAAATCCTCATTGACTCCCATGTTAAAAATACCAATTTCACAGCAGAAATAAACATGTTTACAGCCTGGTTCCAAAACATGTTTTTTGTTTAAATTATCTATTTACATTCATGACAACTCTGAGGGGGTGAATTTTTTCTCACTCTTCTGTTTAAGTGTATTAAAAGCCTAAAATTATGTATAATTAATGAGCATCCGACCCACGTGACCACAGAGCTAGCTCCGTGGAAAGGCCTCAGTGGAGCCTCGGTCTGGCCTGGAAACTGTTCCGGGATTTTGAGTCTCTGTGTTTGTGTATTCTGTTTTTTGGATATTTTTAGTGCAATTGTTGGACAAAATGACTTGCTGTGGCATTAATTGCACTAATAGAGCATCCAATGAGTCTCCACTTCATTTTTTTTTCAGTAAGTAAAATTATATTTATGTATTTTAGGTCACTGCCGAGCTGAGCTTAGATTTTAACATGGACTGTTTAACCATGAAATTTAAATGTAATAGGGTAAACCCCAGTGCATTTAACATAATGCTGCACTTTAGAAAATGGGTTGAAATATAACATGTTGGTGGAGCTGGGTTCCGACTATCGGCTTGTGGAGCTCTCGGGAGACCGATGTTTTCCACCCTTATCTCCTTCCCGCAGCTCGGTGCATCTCTGATCGCGGCTTCTGTGTGTTGCACGGGCTGTCGGCTTGTGGAGCTCTGGGATGGCAACCTTTCCACCCGGTTCTCCCCAGCGGCAGCTCTGCACATCTCAGATCGCAGCGGCGCTTGTCTGCTGTGCGGCTGCCGGCTTCTGGAGCTCTCGGCGACCTCTGTGTTCCACCCGGTTTTACCCAGCAGTCAGCCCGGCGTATCTCTGACTCAGAAGCTCTGGTGTTGTGCACAGTTAACTCCGGTTGTAGCTAGGTTGCTACCTCCGTTAGCTTAGCTCCCACCTCCGCATTAGCTTTGGGTTAGCTTCAGGTTAGCTTGTAGCTAGTTCGACCGGGTGTCGTCAGTTGATCCCAGCCTTACAGCCCCACCCTCAGCTCCACCTCTCTTCCCTTTTGTGGAATTGTCTGGGCTTGACGGAACCTGTGACATGGTCAAAATGGCGGTGGTGGCCACCTCCCATTTATCTTCGAAAACGTGTTATTGGAGCTCTGGAAACCCATTGTCCAATATTTATATGTCGATGGTTCTGAGCTGCCCACTGGATTCAGTTGAGGAGACGTGTGAAAGGAGGATGCTGGGGAAGATGACCTCCATCTTAAAAAGAACCCTCCCACCCACTGTGTTCAGCTGTGGAGACCATGGACAGCTCCTCCAGAGGAGGACTGAGACATCCCAGATGTAAAACAGTACACTACCGTAGGTCATTCATCCCCTCTGCAGTAAGGGTGTATAACTCCTCAGTTTAAGCTGTACTGTGGTTTCCTGTTACACAATACCATCAATACCATCATACTCCGTATGTGTTTGTAATACTGGATTTACACAGTATGTCTGTGTCCCTTACAGAATGCTGATAAGTGTTGGAACCCGATTTTACATTTTTTTGTGTGGTTTTTAGTGGGTTCCAATACTAGCTTACTGCCTTTGTGTATATCCATGTACCTTTGTTCAGTTTGGCGCATTTACATTGGCTTCCACTAACGTTCAGGGTGAGATTTGAAATTCTGCTTTTTGTGTTTAAGGCCTTAAATGGTCTTGCACCAACCTATTTATCGGATCTGCTTACACCTCACGTAAATGATAAATGATAAACGACCCACACTTGTATAGCACCTCTCAGAGTAAGGACTCCAAAGCACTTTACACTACAGAGTATCATTCATCCATTCACACACACATTGAGTGCGTTTACATGCAGCCAGTAACCCTTTTAAAACCCGAATATTCAAAATAACCCGGTTCCGCAGGTCCATGTAAACACCGCCAAAAACCCGGATATGCTCATAACCGGGTTTTTAAAAACCCGGTTACTACACCTGGGGTAACCCTTTTCTAACCCGAAT